TTTTTTTTTCTTTATTGACTTGAGAGAGAGAGGAAGGGAGAAGGAGACAGAGAGAGAAACATCGATGAGAGAGAACATTGACTGGCCGCCCCCTGCATGCTCCCCACTGGGGATCGGGCCCACAACCTGGGCAGGTGCCCTGACCGGGAATCGAACCGGCGACCTCTTGGTGCCTGGGTCGATGCTCAACCACGGAGCCACACCAGCCGGGCAAGCCTTCCTCGGGCTCTCCAGGCTCCTACACCTTCCTGTGCAAATCCCCCGGCTCCCTGGGAAGTTACGTGAGAGCCCAGAACTCACCCCGAGAAGCATCAGTGGTCTGGGTGGTCCCTGGAGCTCTAGGGCAGAGCGGGGCTGATTGTGGGGTAAATCGAAACATCTCACTGTTCTTCTAGAGAGATTAAGGACTAAGGGAAGGGACAAGGTTAGACTGTGTGAGAAAAACAGTTTTTCAAGCATAGAGAGAGAGAGATCTATCAGAAGAGATACCTCGGAAGTCAGAAAAAGGCCGCGGAGTGTCACATCCTGGGCTGGGCACAGTCCTGGTCCCAGAGCCCAGCTAGATCCTAAATCCAGTCTTTCACATGTACGGATGCCCATCCCTATTATCTGCGTGATTTCTCCTCCTTTTCAAACCTGTGTCTAGGAAACGATTTTGACATCAGAAACGTCCAAACACACACTCTGGACATGGTCAGGCTGTGGGCACTCACACGTCCTTCCTTCTCTAGGACAGTCGGCCTGACGCTGGTGTGCAGACAGAGCAGGGGCCACTGGAAGACAGAATGAAACCCTGCAGGCAGCCCCGGAGGCCAGCAGGACACCAGCAGTGTCCTCGAGCTCAGGGGATGGTAGGAGCCTGGGGAGAGTCCGAGAGCTACCATCAGAAGGAATCAGCATTCGAGAAACGATCCTCAAGAGGCGAGTCGGAAGGAGCTGGGCTTGCTCACCTAGGGAACGGCTTGTAAGGACCCAGAAGGGCACAGCCGGGGCCAGGCCGGTCCTGGGTGGTGAGGAGGCTGTCCTCACTGCACACAGGGCACACGGAATAAAAAAATAATGGCTTTGAGCTTTGGGTCTGCCAGACTTCGAAATGCATGTGCGAAGGAAATTACCGATGGCCTTTTTCACTCCCTTCCCCCCAACTACGGATAACCAGAGGCAATCCAGTTTACAGTGAGAAGCAAGCCTCGGGGGCAGGTCCATACCAGGTCACCTTCAGCCCTGTGATTCCTTGATTGGACTCAGGGAGCTGTTATTTAGAAAACACGAAGTGTGTGTGCTCCTGAGTGTTTGTGTATGAGTGTGAATGTGAGCAAGTACGCATGTGAGAGCTGGTGTGTGAGTGTGCATAAGCGTATTGTGTGTGTGTGAGAGAGGGAGGGAGAGGGGGAGTGTGTATGTGTGTATGTGTGTGGTGGACGATGTGTCTCTCATCTCCTTCCTTCCCAGAAAACCAATGCAAACAATTCTTGGAAACATCTCTCCCGGGGGAGCTGCTGCTTCTGCTCAGACGCAGGCCCTGGCTGCTGCATCCCGGGGAAAGCGTGGCTGTCACAGGGCCAAGTGAGTGAGCTGCCAGCCCTTCACCTGGTGCAGTGAGACCCCCCCCAAGGGGACGGGGGGCACTGCTCAGGCAGGCTTTTCTCAGCCAGGGACAGAGGATCTCATGGCCATCACCTGCTGTCTATAAAGGTGCTCGCCCCTCTCTCTTGACTACCGAAGAAAACAGAGAAAGTGCTGAGCCCCAAGCTCCACACATGCCTTCCGTACAGTGTGATTTCTACGACCAAGAAAAGCAAATAGCTTCCTTGCGTCAGGCACAGAAATTCAGTCTAATTCCCAGAGATCTGGATGATGACAAACGGCTACATAGGCAGCTGCATTGTAATAAAATTCCAAGGAAATGTCACTTTCTCCTGATTGCCTGCTTCTCCTTTGTTTATTCAGGTGCCGATTAATAAAGGGGACGATCTGTTTTGCATCTCGGAGTTTCGCCGAGTATTGGGGAGCAATCTCTAATTGCTTTGGGACTTGGACTTCTTTCCTGAACTTCTCATTTTCTCTTACAGATTGTAAAGTTCCAGTAGATGGGAGTATACATTTCTACAAATCTGGTGCCCTCTGGAGTGACCAGGAGCCAAACACACTGCACAGCCAAACAAACCTCTATATACAAGTGGCGACGGAGGATTGGGTCAGTCAGCAGCCACCATGTCTCGAGCCTTTGGGGAGGACAGCGATTGGCCTGGGCTCTGGGGGTGAGTGTCAGTCACTCTCGGCCACCTACGTGCATCTCTGCGGGAGCGAAGTCAGGGACTTCTGCTCCTCCCCCAGCCGCTCTTCCCAGCCAGCTCCAACCAGGACGGGGCGTGACAAACAAAAAACCTGAACCCACCAGAGATAAGGGGCGAACAGTCGGAGAGAGAACACATCCCTTCTCTGTAATCAGTCTCAATGTGGCAGAAACCGCCCAGCCTCCCTAAAGCCGGATCCCTCAGTAGATTATTTTACTACTGGGTTTACTTTCAGGGTCAGCGATTGCTTTTGTTTTCAACGGATCATGCAGTTTCCCACCGACTTACTGGTAAAGAAGTCGATTAATCTGCTCTTAAGCATTCTGGGTTTTAATCATTACTGGGAATGCTGGCATTGGAAAAACTGCTCAACAAGTGACGAGGGCGATGGCTTGCTTATTGGATGACGCCGGGTGTTCTACATTCTGGCTGGGGTATGCATCTTCACTCCTAGATTCAACATGTTTAAATATCTATCGCCATTGCCTTGGTTACTGAGCAAAGGGCAGTGCCAGCCTGGTAGTAATTTAAGGACACATCTCGGATAAGAGCATGGGTGAGGGGAGAAGGGGGTCATCAGTAAGTACCCACTGACCTTCGCCCAATAAGAAGTCACAGGGATGTAAGCAAGGTACTTCTGCGCCACCTTTACCCCCTAAGCTCCAGGATGGAGGGCTGGGTGGACAGTGCAACCCTCGCCGGCCACAGGAGAGACCCAGAGGCTAGCCTTCTGACCGGGAGCCCTGACAGCGCAGCTACAGGATGTGGGCCAGCATTTTTGCTGCTCAGAGGGGAAGATGGCAGCTTATATGCAGCGTGAGGAGTTTTCTCATGTTGCTAAGACTTGAAGGATGAAGAACATTCCATCAGGCAAGGAGAGAGCTGATCACATAAAGGTGCAAAGACTGTATCTTTTTTCTGTTCCGAAAGTCTAGCCTGGAAGCCTTCTTTCACTGACAGTTAGAAGGGCTCAGGATGAAACAACTATAAAGACAATTAGCAGAAGCAACAACAACAAAAAACACAAAACCTCTCTACAATACCAAAGGCAATGTAAGACACCTAAACTTGGAAAATTGCTTGTATAATACGATCCTCTTCCAGTTAGAAAAATTCTGTCTTTTCTGTATTCAACTGTTTAAACATTAAAAATCGGCAAATGTTATATTTTTGGAACAGTTTTAGTCAACTAAGATTGCAGTTTATCTTAGTGAGGTTAGTTGCATTATTTAGTTATTAATTCATTTCCTTATTGTCTCTACTTACTTTATACCCGAAAAATTGTTGGAGTGGAAACCTTTAGTTATGAAGACATTTAACATTTTAAATTAAGATGTGAGGAATTCCAGATGACACTCGATGCCCCAGAGAGAAGCTTCTCATCTCTTGTGTTTGTAGTTACCTCCTATGTTCATACACCGAACCCTGTGCATACTTAAGCCAGACCAAAATCCCAAAAAGCTCCATTCCCCCCATTAGGAAAAAATGCAAATATTCTGCTTAGTTATGTTTTTGAAATCACTTGACATTTTAAATAACTGATGAATATGTAATTTGATCACCATTAATGGACAGTTTCCGGGGAGCTACCAACACTAGTTTTATAATTTACTATTTTAGAAGGGTTTATAAATGCAAAGATTAAAGCTGGGGAGCAGAGAGACACCCCTGTAGGATGACACTATTCTATTTAGCACAAATAACAATGAAGGGTCAAGAAATTAAGTCAAGGTATTGAATTCCTATGTGGCAAGTTACAGATAGTGACATACAGTCGTTTCTCTCCATAATAAATTCCCATACACAGCCATGTACCCAAATTAACATTAGAGCAACATACTATACTGTGAAGGATTAAATGATATCTTAGCTTATGTCTTTATTTTTTGTCTCTTTCCTTCAGGTGATAAGAGAGATTTCATTTACCATGCATGAACACTTACATCCCTTTTCTGAGAACATTTCTGGTATTATTGGTATAAGAGAAAAATGTCATTTATTTAAAGATTGCCTTATTAATCTACAGGTGTTGGTAAATACCTAGATTATCTGGTTGGTCAATGTGTCTTTATGGTCTAAGAAAGAAGACTAGCTGCCATGTTCAATCCAAATCCGTTGCTATATGAATATTCATAAGGACATCAATTTTCACAGTGTCTTACAATCATGCTCCAAGCTAAATAAAAAATAAAAGTAAAATGGCCACACATATTACAGCATAATCGAAGAAGAGCTAAAAGATATGTACAGATTCATTGACAACATCTGCGTGTCATAGACAGAACATTTAAAAGGAAATCTACATAAAACAAAGTAGATAAATTTATCAAATGATGATAAATTTTCAGAGACAGTATAAAAAGTACACAAAACATGGAAGAGAGAAAGAATTTTTAAAAAATAACCGCTAAGCCAATACATAGAGTACAGGTTTACTACATTGATATTACAGAATGATGGAAACTAGAGACACACGGTCTGGTAACAGCAAAGAGAGTTTCACCAACCGCGGCGAAGAGAGACTCTGGGTTCTGGATGAGAACACAGATGCCACACTCCGCCCGCGGCCCCGCCGCCCCAGACACACAGAGAAGAGTAAGAGCAACGCAAACGTCCTCTAGGGCAACACAGGACAGACAGGTGGAAGCGTTTGGCATGTTGCATCACAGGAAGTCAATCACGATTGGCTAACGATGATGGTACCTGGCTCTGCTGCAGGTCACTGGCTTGTCTGAGAGGAGCAACGGAGGCAGGGGGCACACCTGACGTGGACGCAGACCGGCCCAGCTTGCAGCTCACTTTCGGTTCTGTGGACAAGGGGGAGAGAGACCAGCTGTTAGCGGAGGGCAGTGGGCAGCGAGGACGGCTTGTGGGCTCCCGTTTGCACCAAATATTCCTGCTGCTTGTAGCCACTGGCAGGGGAGGGACCAGGGTCCTAACCGTGGACTCGAAAACAGTGCCTTTGTTTGAGGATGAGTTGCTGGGAATGAAGAGCAATTCCCTTGCACATTTTACTCCAATTCTGGCGAGTTTCTGTAGAGTGACAACACCCATTAGCATGTGACATGACCTTTGGTGCTTTATTTTCAGCGCTGGTCCATAGCACTCCTAGCTCCTCAAATGTCTTTGCACCCTCTCCAAATTGTACCCTCTCTCCCTTGTCCTCCCTCCCTTTCTTCGTCCTTCATTCTTTCCTTGTCTTTCTGATCTTGAAATCGGTATCATGGTGTTTATGCTATTTTCCCTGTGTTTTCAATGCAACGTTCCTCTCACTTATCTCAATGTGTTTTAAATTGTATAACCATCTTCTAAGACGTTTGCACGCTTTCATAATAATCGTATTTTTCAAAATTAAAAGCCTTGCCCCAACTCTTCCTCTAGTTAAGGAGCCCAAACAAGCTGCCCAGGCTGTGGACAGGACACTGTGAAGATTAGAGTTTGGGGCTGAGGAGAGTTCCCTTTATCCAAGAAGCACAGAGTTTATCGTATACAGAGAACATTGAGTTTCTGATAAACTAGAAGATATTTGGTCGAGGAGAGAGGAAGAAGGAATAAAAAGAAACATTGATCATCTCTGCTTTCATTACAATCATTTACATTAACTGTCAGTTTGGAGCACCTGGTATAGTCCAGCTTCTGTTTGAACTACACTTGAGTTATGTCTAATTCCAAAGACACTCTTGGGAATCGCAGAGTTAGCTAAAATGCTCCCAGTTTACAAGTGAGGAACCCGGGTGTTTTCTCTGGCGGTCAGTGGACTGAGAACTCTCACGACAGAGGGACGAGATCCAATGTGGGGAGACCAGAAAGACAGGAGGCTGTTGCCATATGGTCCTGGAAAGGGCTAAGCCTGAATCCCTCCTTGGGCAAGTCAACCACTCATTCTTCAAACCACAAACATTCCCTGAGCCCCTCTGGGAGGCGGGACCCCAGGTCTGCAGAGGAATAATTGCAGATCAACTGAAACAGAGAAAGAACTTCAGGGAGCAGAGGAAGGGATGTCAAGCTTTAGCTTTTAAAGAGAATCATCATTTTCTGGAAAAAAAAAAGATTAACATGAGCCTATTGCTTTAAGGAAGACAATTGACAGCATTTGATGACAGTGATACATCTGAGCTTTCAAGCAACAATTAAAATTTTGAAAAACCTGCACCCACCATTGTGAGCTTGGCAACATCCTAACACTTAAAAGACTTTTCTTATGAGCGCAGTGGTGATATTAATAAGTGCACTGTATTGATTTTTATAACAAAATGTGTCAACATATGGAAGATTTGCATGACTTAGTGAACCAATATTTTCTAAAAGCATGGTGTTATAAATCATGTATGGGTAAGATCCATTTAAAGTTCGCAAGAGATCAATGGATTTTAATGTAACAGAGCATGATACGTTTATTGATGTGTAACTAACTTTTATGAAGCTGATATTTCTTGACTTTTAGAAGGGTACAAAAAAAAGAAAATCTACAATTATATAATCATATTAATAAAATATTTCTTTCTTTTCAACTACATATATGTATGAGGCCAGATTTCCTCCATATATTTAAACTAAAGCAACATATCACAACAGATTGAATCCAAAGCAGATGTGAGAATCTGTGTTCCATTGACTCAAACATTAGAAGTGCAGAAACGCAAAACAATGTCAATCGGCTCACCATTTTCTATAGTTGTGGAAAATATAGTTATTTTTTTAACTTTTTAAAAAATATGTTTTTATTGGTTTTAGAGAGAGGGGGAGGAAGAGGGAGAAAGATAGAAATACCGATAGGCTGCCTCCTGCATGCCTCCTACTGGGGTCGAGCCCGCAGCCCTGGGCATGTGCCCTGACCAGGAACTGAACCAGCGACTTCTTGGTGCATGGATTGACGCTCAACCACTGAGCCACACTGGCGGAGCAACATAGTTATTTTTAATGAAAGATGTTACTTATGTTAATACATAATGGTTTTATTTTTAATGAATAATTTCTTCTCAATTTTAATTTCTTATATGATAAATATTATTATTCGTAACCCACATAAAGAAAAGCTTTTTTAGGTTCTCAGTAATTTTTAAGAACATAAAGGGTCCTAAAACTAAAGAGTTTGAGGGTTGTTGATTTATATACTCTGAGTTCCCGAAAGTTCTCTTCAAAGGTAATGCTTTTTATGGTTATTTTGCCAGTATAGTAGTTTTAAAAAGTTGAAACAGGAAAATGCCATGTTAAAAACTCCAAGGAATGTAGGAACTCCCAGCTGGGAAATTTTCCCCTGGAAAATCCTCTATGGCACAATATCCAAGAAAAGCTATTACCTGCCTGGGACACCTGGGGGGAGCCATCCACATTCTCAAGGCACCTTTTCAACATTTCTAAGGAGAAGTAAGCACCAAGCTTCATTCACTGATTCTTGGATGTTCATCCATGAAACCTGCTGGAATAGGTGAAACGACCTCAAAAACACTCTTGATTAATCACGAGCTGGTTTGCTAAGGTTACTGCTTTTACTCCTCCTTCTGGTCTGCTTTCAGCGCTTTAACCTTGTAACAATGTCAATAGGACCTTGCATAGCTCAAGTTGGCGATCTGCTATAATTTTCTACAACTGTCAGTAAAGTTTTGTTTGTAAATGGTTAAAAAAAAAAACCACTAAAATTTATTTTAAAATAAAGTTCAGGAGGAGTATTGGTCATCTTTCATTTTCGCTGGTCCAGAATCCATTTACTTTTTCTGGAACGGTGGTTGAATTTCCTTCGGCGACAACATCACCAGTAAGCTCAGTTCTCGTGTTTCCGGAGCGGGGGCAGCCTCCAGTCCAGCTCCAGAAGTGGCCATGGGACCTGTCCAGTCAATCATTCCATCCCTGTGGCTTCAGGAATGGTCATGTGATCCAAGTCAGTCAATGGGAGTTGCCTTCATACTTTTTCTGGGGTTTTTCATGAGAGCTGCTCACTTCTCATCGCTCACTAGCCGAACGACAGTGGACAGTTTGCTTGGTATCGCTAAGGTCCAGTTTGTTCACAGGTAACATGGGAGAAAGTTTAAAGGTATATAAAATTATTGTAAGAATTAAATAAGGTAATAAGTGTGAAGATCTTATCTCATGTAATAAGTGACCAGCATGCAATAAAACCTCAAGAAATGTTGGCTGTTTTTACTATTTAAAGGCAACTTTGATCTTCCAGCTCCTCTGCTTATCACATCATGAAGTCTGAACTGCTTTCTCCCAGGGGTCCCCAAGGCCCAGCTGCATGGGCAGCCTCATTGGCAGCCTTGCCCCGGCCACACAGCATCCTTCCCTTCCCTCCTTTACTAAGACATGTGTCCTGTGAGGACAGGAACTGTGCCTCTCTCATTCCTTTCTGTATTTCCCCTGAGGAACATGATAACCAGTATCTGAGGACTTACATTATTTATTGAATGAATTATTTTAAGCCATAGTTTAAAGATGAAAGCCATTGTAAAAAGATAAATTACTTGTAAATTTCTTATTGATAGAAAAAAATTTCCCTCATTTCTTTACCTTTCCAATAAAAAGGCAAAATGCATTGACCAGTCTTCAGTTGAATTTAACATTTAAAAAAAAAAAAATGAGGAAAAACTGCAGTGCCTGCTGTGAGCAGTAGATGGCAGTGCAAATATGATTTGTTCTGCATTCTGGCCAGTTCACAAAGCTTCCAGAACTACTCTTTGTAAAAGCCCAGCATTAGTCAGAAAGAAACTTCATTTTTTTGTAACGTCTTCAATGGCTCTTCCCAGAAACCGAAAGAGCATTCTTTGCAAAAGCAGTTAGTGAGGCATACCCAAAAGACCTTTCCAAAGAAAGCCAACTACTGCCAACTAGGAACAATGTCAGGGTGAACTCTTCAGAGAGAGGGCACAGGGTGGGGCCGTGTTCCCTGTGGTGACAGACAGGAGGACCTGGCAGGCGTCAAAACTCAGGCCAGCTTATTGCCATCGTGTGTTCAAACAGGACTGATTTATTGAGAGCCAAGTAAGGTGAAGGCACCTTCTGCATTATCTAAATGCTTATGCCTGGTTGATTATTTTTTCCCCGGTAGAATCAGACTAGTTGGAAATTCAGAATTTCTCTAACACGAATGAAATTACTGTCAGGTTGTACTGTTTTCAGAGTATTTGTATAATATACAATGTCATGGTCTAAGAATATGTTTAGTAGAAATCAAATTTAAGGGAATATATATATATATACATACATATACATACATATAACATGTATATATAAATATATATTCATATTCACATATATTTTATGCATAGTATATGATGTTAGCTGATTTTGCACATCTGATCATATAAGAGCTTAACTTGAAACCTATAAGTAGTTTCATCTATATGTGCTTGCACACACACACACACACACACACACACCAGTTACTATCACCAAATTCCTTGACTCCAGACAGCTCCCATTACTTTAACCAACCATCTTGCTAGAAAACAAATGTGAATAAGAATATACATGGTTTAGAAAAATTCCTACAAACTACTGAGGGGCAACAATGTGCTCCTGAGGTGAAATCCCGTGCCATCATGAGCAGGTGGATTTAACCCCTTGAGGGCAGAGGTCATGTGTCATCGCTTCACAGTGAGCTGTCCATCAGGGACCTCACAGGTCTCTTGAATGCAGTAACTAACTGAACCAAAGAACAATAAGCATCGACAATGTTGCTACGTTTGAGGGGAAAGAAACATCCACACATTTAACAGACTTGTTTGGGGGCTTCAGAATTAATTTTTGGATCTATTCGACCATTAGTTGTAAACATTTTTCAGGTATAGGAAGAGAGAAATGTCACGGC